AACGTGCAAAGGTGAAGAGTCTCGAACGTGCAAATTAGAGTTTATGAACGTCTTGGGTTTCGTAAGTTTTTTTTTCTTTTCAAGAAACCCTCAAACGTGCACAAGATAATCATTTGCGACGTTAACCTTGAACAGATCTATGAGACTTTAAGGGGTGGTAGCCATCAGAAAGAATCGAGAGGGGAAACTAATTCAAATGATAAGCGCCTACAATGCTGGAGTTTGCAAAGCTAGATGTCCTTCTAGAATCCTTGCAAAACGCTCACAGAGAAAGCTAACTTAACAGATTGATTCCAACCAAGAGCTGGTTAGAAGATGAATGACTCTTAGATCGAACTTGGAATCTATGATGGTCACTCTTAGATACCAAGACAATTCACTCCAAAAGATTGAGGAAAGATTTGTTGAACAAAATTTAAAAAATAAAACAGGAAATATCAGAGGGCAAGGAACTCTATTCAATTTCGTCTAACAATATCAGAATTTAACATTGGCCAATGTAAATTAGAGAAATAATTTTAACTTGAAACTGATGTCATGGGCTCACATAGGTTGACTTAGATTTTCACATAGGTTGACTTGGATTTTAATGGACTTTCATTAAAGATAACGGTGAAACATCAGCCTAAGCTAACCAGGTAAGTGACCTTACTATCGGCACGGTTATATTTGATGTTGACACGTGCCCTTAGTTCTGCATGTGTCATATATATTGATATGTGTGAATTGTCTGTGGATCAATATGCTTCCTATATTTTATGTATATGTTATAATATGTGAATTCTATGATAATAATTACGGTGTGATGTGTTCAAGGATATGTTTGAGATAGGATACAAGAAGGATGCACAAAACGAAATTATTATCATATTATCATGTGTCATATATATTGATATGTGCGAATTGACTGTGGATCAATATGCTTCTTATATGTTATGTATATGTTATAATATGTGAATTGTATGATAATAATTACGGTGCGATGTGTTCAAGGATATGTTTGAGATAGGATATAAGAAGGATGCACAAAACGAAATGTAACGATAGGAGTAAAATACGTTCATGAAACATTAAGGTTAGGTTACATACGAGAGTGGTATGGATAAGAGAGATTGATGGAAGAATACGGTTAGGTTACTGGTAGAAAGGGATAGGTTTGTGATAGATTGATAGAACGATAGTGTTAGGTTAAGTTCTTATGATGATATGACTAAGGTACGTTCACGTAATGATATGTCTGTAATACGTATAAGAACGTTAAGGCTATGATAAGTTAGAGAATGGTATGACTACAAAGTGTTTACGTTATGACTTGTTTATGATTGATCGCTTGTGGATGTATATAATAAAATGATGTAAAATTTACAAGAATAAGTGCAAGTATACACTAACAAGTAGCAAGTAATAAGTAAATTATCGATTCCACAGAGAACCTATCTTTTTGTTTAATTTTATCGCTAGAAATTTAAGTGAGTTTTTGGGTAACATTCAAATGGGTGTTGGAGATTTTAATTATTCAAACAAAACTAAAACAGAGTGTCATTGCTGTCGAAAAACAGAAAATGATGAGAAAATCAACTATAATGAGGAAGGTTCAGCTAAGAGAGATTAAATAGATAAGTTGTAGAGTTTTGTGGTTGATTTTAGTTCCTTTTAATAGATTCTCAAGCCCACTTCCGAGGGTCATGAATGGTGATTATTTCCATAATCGTTGTAATTTCTATTAACAAGGCTCTAAGAGAAGGATTATTCCTAACCCTTTCCATTACCCTTCAAGTCTCCTTGCTATAGAATTAGAGTATTAAAGAGGATTTCATTGCTCCCTCTCTTCTCCAGAATAAGAGAACAACTATGTGTGTAAATAGCTAATTAAACATACATGTAAAATATTAACAAACAACTCTTTAATAAACTAAAATCATACCATCAACATACTTAAACTATATAAAACTCTCTCGCCTCCCCTATTAAGTTTAGCTCTCCATACAAACTGAATTAAACAGAGGAATCCGCATCTTCATCATGTAAAATTGATGTAATAAGGAAAGAGAATAAGGAAATAGAGAGTTATCCCTGTTTATTGTCGTTCGTTAATGGAAGTTCCCTTCTCTTGAGCTCTCACGTCCACCTCTTTGCCCTAATCAATCCTTGTTGGTCTCCTTTTCCTTCTGCTGTCAACAGCTGTTGGATTAGGGTTTTTTTTTTCTTCTCTGGTTTCACAACAGTTTACTACAGCAGAGGCTGCTGCTGTGTAATTCGATTTTCTTCACAAAAATGTGTGGCTCTCTTAATCTTGGTCTTCCTTTTCCTTTTATATTGAGCATGGTTCCCCTTTAAGGCTGAAAAGAAATAAGTAGTACACATAGGATGTTCCTCATTGGGTAGTCAATGACCCACTTGGACTGTTGACGTGGATTTATCATTTCCATGTCATCCCCCATTTGTTTCCAAATTCACTACTCCCACACGGTTTAGCATAAATGTCTGAAATTTTACCACATAACTCAATTAAATATATAATTAAGATCGATTTATGCCAAATCATATTTTTTTTTCACGTTGGACTGTAATGAACGATTTCGTGCTCACTAAATAGAATAAATGAGGTTATAAATGAGAAAATGGTGAATAAGAGTGCAATATTAACTACAAAAAGACTTGCTGACTCTATTTTAGATAGTTATCACACCCCCAAACTTAAAAGATTGCTCATCCTCTTCACTCTCCCATTTTTTTCTCATTAACAAAATGGTTGTAGAGTATTCATCTAAGGCATGATTGAGATCACATTCTTTATATTCCTTCCTCAAATTAGTTTTTTCCCCACATTGCTACACTTATCACCAAATCTTACAAGAAAAAAACAATACATTCCCCACTTCCACCGTATTCCCCAAAACACTTATAAAATTATTACCATGCCTTTACCTTTGCTTTTGTGACTTGCCTTTCATAATTTATTTGATTAACTTTCTACATTTTTTTTCTCCCAAGAATCCTTCAAGTCATCTCCATATTCTCTGGGAAGACTCCACTTGTGGTGCAAATCACCTAAGTCTTCAAGGGATGACTATATAGGCTAACACTCATTCTCCCTTAGCTCGACTCTTTTGCTAGCATCCTGTAGTTTTCAGTGTGGCCACATTTGAGATGCAACTCACCTGAACAATAAGGATAACTTCTTTTTTTTTTTTTTTACCTCCCAATTACCTTCGATTCAGACACCTCCATTGGTGATGCAGATTGCCTGAGAACGAGCAATTAAGACTTATTGAGAGTTCAAGCTTTAGGTTGAAGAGGAGTGGTCTCGGGTACTTTTTTTCTTTTAATATATATATGGGGGCGATGGAATTTGCTTTAATACCCCCAAACTTAAACTAGCATTGTCCTCAATGAGCATTAGTGTGGGTGTGGAATCATTCTTGAAAGCAATTTGAGGTGTAGAAGCTCTTGGTTATTGTTTGTTTTGGGAAAATGGTTTAAAGGTTGAGTGAATTATGGGAATTCTTCCTAAGTAAGGTGGATTATGATAGATTGGATCCTCACCTTAACTTTGATGAATACTCTTCAATGTGAGCGTCAATTTCCTTAATTTTTTTTTTTTTTTTTTTGGAAAAAACACACCACTCACCCTTACAGTTTTATTTATCCATAAAGCATTTGACAATACATCCCTAGTTCTTGCACAAAACATCATGACTATATATGAAATTAAATATGCATGATCTATTACCCTTTCTAGAACTTCATGCTTCTAGGTTGCATGCATGAGCATGATTCAAAATTATATACAGTCAACACAACAAAACAAACACGACATAAGGATACATGCTTCTAAATCAGACAGCAAGGTAAATCAGACAGCAGGGTTATAAAAGGTGTGGTAAGAGAATTCCCTTGATTTTAGGCATCATTAGAGGAAGTGTTCTCTTCCTCCTCTACTGCATGAGATGATTCTTTGCCACTCCACTCTTTAAAGATTTCGTCTGGAAAACTTGGGAATGCTGAATTTTTGGACTTGGTTCTTAAGGCTTTATGTATTTCCTCATCCCTCTTTTTGACATAAGACCAATACGCCTTACAACTCCCTTCACTGTTTGAACAAGGGGCCCCACCCTCTCATTGGCCTGAGAGGGATTCGGTTTATTGGTTGGACCACAAACCAATTGTTCATTAGAGGATCAGTGAGACATAAGGAACAAAAAGTAACTTCACGGGTAAAACGGTAAATTGACCCAGCTCTAGTTACGAACAACCTGTGAAGAATTGACTTACTAATCATGGTTATATTAAATGGACAAAAATATATCTATCGTGAGGGGAGTGCAACTACTAGGCCTTAGTGGAGTGTCCTAGTAGTTAACAAATGTTGGTTAACAAGGTTAATGAGTTTAACTGGTTAATCTTGGATCGTTGGAGCCCATGATCTATAGGTCCATTAGGTCCCTCTGCTAGCTCATATCGGACAAAACCATAGAACAGTGTGACGAGTGAGTTCAAAGTGTTCGAATTCAAATTAGGGAATATGCGCTACATATATACGATATATTTAACCGCATTTTTGTTTTATTTACGAATTAAACAAAAAGAGAGAATCTAAGATATTTAAATAAGATTTAAATATCTTAATCAAATATGTGTCGGAATTGATTGGGATTGACATTTGAATTAATATTAAATATTAATTAAATAGTTTAATTAATAATTTAATATTACTTTAATATAAAATTAATTATTGAATTAAAATGAAGAAAGTCAAAATGTTACTTCATTTAATGGAAAAATTCATGTTAGTGGAATTTTGAGTTGTCAAAATTTGGTTTAACCAAATTTGCATGCTTGCCAAATAAACCCTACAAATTTTAGTGGAATTTTGAGTGTCAAAATTTGGTGAACTCAAACTTGCATGCTTGACACATAATCCCAAACATTTGAGTGGAATTGGCGATTTCAAATTTGAAAGAACATGCAAACATGACTCTATAAATAGAGTGATCATGGTACATGGAAGGTCTCCATTTTGGAAAATACCTTCGAGAAAAACCTCTCACAAACTCTCTCTTCATATACAGTAAATCCCTCCCAAGTTTAGTCACTCACCGGATTCCACAATCCCGTTCTAAGGCCGGAGAATAGTGGAAAAGACACTAGTGGTGGTTCGAAACCGGTTCGTGAGGAAAAAGAAACTTGAGCGACAAAAGGTTAGTATTCAAACTCATTGTGTTTTAATGCTTTTGAACATGCTAGCTAATTTACTATAATTGATGTACTTAGAGTGCATAGGATCCAAATTGCTTCTGCATGCGTTATATTAACACCATAAAAAGCATGTACAAGAGAACCATGTTTAGACTAGGGCATCAAAGCTAGAGCGATTTCGAGCCAACTCAAGTCAGTACATTTTTAGTAGACTGAGCACTCTAGGATCGTAAGCAGCAATTAGAGATTTAGACCATGTGCACCTAGAGTATAGACTAGCCGATGAACTAGTCCTACATGTCTTGGAAACAATAGTTGAGAATCAAACTACATAGACATCCTAAGAGCTAGAAAATCTTCATGGCATCCAAGAAAAAATTTAAGGACTTATGAGATCCCTTGTAACGTGAATGTATTGAACAAAAATTACACGTCTCCTCTCTTGTGATAAAAGAAAAAATCTCTTAGAAAACTTGTTCGATTTCTTTCACGAATTTTTGGAAAATCATTGATCTTTTGTTCAAGTCATAGCAACCAAGATCTATCTTTTAAAAATTTGATGGAGCTAAACATAAGAAGTCGAAAAGTTTTGCCAAAACTTTCTTTGTGGCCTTCAAATGTAAGCTTGCTAAAATTGAATTTTTTATATTTGATCTCAACTTTGTTTTTAAAGTGTTTAGACATCATCATCAATCCAACCTCAAAGATCGAAGATCTCATGAAAGTGGTACAACGGAGCAATATTGAGTTCGAGACTTAAATCATTTTTAAAGATTCAAACATAGTACGCTATATTTTCATCAATCTAACACCATGTTCATCACTATCGTATTCCGAGCGTTCCAAACCATCAAACCACGTAGGATAGAAAACAAAATACAAGAATATCTATTATCAACTATCTGATTTCGTATCCTCAATTCTTCGAGAACTTTGTCGAAGATTGGATGCTTGTTGGGTTATACTACAAAATAGACTACTAAGGGGAGATGAAGCCCATGAAGATTCTATTCATGAATTCTTATATCTTATATGTTCAGAATTGTTGAGAGAGAAAATCCACCTTGGTTAATTAAAAGGATGATTAGGGATTTATAAGTAATGAATACATCTCCATAGGTATGAAGTCTTTTGGAGAAACAAAAAGTAAAGCCACGAGAGTTTATGTCCAAAGTGAACAATATCATACCATTGTGATTTTCGTGATTCCTAATATGATATCAGAGTCATACCCTTAACTCTTAACTTAGTCATATCAATAGAATCCTCAAATGTCGAACAAAGGGTGTACTTTGATGCTTGAAAAAAAAATTAATCCATCCATATTAAACCTGGATTAAAAGATACTATAATTGCTAAATCATATAAAGACCCTCAAGAAATTTCTCAAATTATTGTTAAGAGTCGGATTTGAACCCACACCCTTTCGGACCAAAACCTTAATCTGGCGCCTTAGACCAACTTAGCCATCTCAACTTTGATGTTTGAGAAAAATTAATCCATCCATATTCTTTATAAAGGTTTAGGGATCAAAATATTAAACTTCTCAAAATAATTGTTGAGAGTGGAATTTAAACCCATGCCCTTTCAAACCACAACCTTAATTTGGCTTCTTAGACTAACTCCAACATTAATAGCCAAATTCTAGACATTAATGTTCACATCTTGCTTAAAAAGGGATAGAAATGAAAATACATTAGGATCAACTAAAACATTAAAAGAAACAAAATACCTTAGCCAACTTGGTCATCTCAACTGTAATATATAAAATGTACATATATTAATGTAACAACTAAAGAATTTACCTAGGCCTATATGGAACTGCCATAAAGCCAACCAATGGTTGAGATTGCCTGAGGGGACGAGAATCAAATATGGAAAAGACCTCAAAATTTAGATGAAGATTTGTGGAGCTTCTATACAAGTTAAAGTCGGTGATCTTAGAGCTATTAAAGAGGACAATAAGAGCTTTCTTTTCATGCCCTAAATTTGAAGAGAGCCTACAAGTGTTATGGCCTTATACCGCGAATTCACGATGCATGTTGAATTTGAAGGTTATAGGAGCATGTTTAGAGCATAAAGCAATGATACGGGTATAAAATAAAGGAAAATGCCCTTACTATACCTTCTATGATGTTTTATGGCTTATATTAACTTTGACTAACTAGAAGTGTTATATGGCATCTAGTTATGATGTTATGAAGCATAGAAATAATATGTATTTTTTTTTTTTTTTTTATAGGAGTAAAACATCACATGCTTAGGTTATACCCTTAGCTTTTTATGATAGACCCTTTAAAGTCAGAACCATGAACTTACAGACATATGCATTATTTCTAAGGGTATAGTCAAGCCAAGTAAGTTGAATTCAACTAAAGTTTAAATATTTTTCTTAAAGAGTTTAGAAAAAGTGAGATTAAAGTCGAAATTAATGTAGGTAAATCTATAAAAACGCTATTATCATATCATATAGATAGTACAAGGTATAATAGATAGTATAAGAACTTTGTGTACTAAGATTAATTGATAGGAAGTGACATTATATTCCAACTCTAAGCATCAGTATAATTTTGTTAAAATTGTGATGTAAGAGAAGAAACTAAGACCTCGTAGAAATGGTCACATAAAATAATGAGTTATACGCCATTACCAGACTCTTCTTAGGGGATAGAGATTGCATATTAACTAAGTTGCCTTTAAAACTATCTATAAGACAGATTATGTAAGAGTATAAAGTTAATTTATAACACTTTAATAATTGAGATTGCCAAGTGTCATAATCGCACTCTTGTGGTAATAGGACAACGATTATGTGACACTTGTTCTAACCCAGTAAACAAGTCACCCATGTGAAAACTGAACTTTCTGGATAATCTTGACTTATGATCGAGCCTCGAGTCACATTTGAGATAAAATATTTCATAAAAAGTGAGGGAAGAAATGAGTTGAAAAATAACTCAAAAAAAAGTAATGTTATATGCTAAAAGCAAATAAGCAACAACCACAACTTTGATGGCATATAACTTGGTGAAGAATTGACAACTAGTCACATCCCCTATCGTTTTTAGGTATTTTAGTCATGAAAGCAATACGGCTTCGACAAACATGACCATGACATCTTTACCCACTCAATTGGTTGTCGTCTTTGTCAACCGATTCTTTGTGAACTTAGCGATGTAGGATAAGGTTGACTTCAAGCCTCTTGATGCGTTTCTAGTTGATCTCAAATTAAAGAGCCTCTTCTAATGTACCAAGAACTATTGAAAATCACTTCTTGGTTCATCAATGATAAGGCAACCCTAATCCTTAGCCCAACGATCCAAGCCTTTGTTGAAGCAAGAACCCTTGAATCAAAGTAATTAACACCTCTTCATACGAGATTTGGATCAACCAAGAGATAAGGCTAGAATTAGATTACCTCTTGTGATCGAAGATTTAGAAGCAAGATTTGGAACCTTGTTCTAAATTGAGTCACTTCACAATTGAACTTGATCAAGACTTGATTGAATGGCTCAAATGCAATTCTACCCCAAGAATTGCTTGAAACTTAGAAATGGCAAAATTGATGCTCGAATTTCTAGGGAAAACGTCTCAATTTCATTCATCCACCATTCTGATTTTTACATAACATATTGTGGGTATTTATAGTCTCTCAACAAAAGACGTTTGTGGCCGGGATTCAATTCCGATCTCCTTTAATCTCCACAAAAGATGAAGTCAATCTTGACCATTTGACCATTACAAAATGAAAATACAAAAAAAAATAAATAAATAGAAGCTTCCCATATGTTTAAGGGGCTAAGGAGACAAACTTGAAATCTATTAGGGTTGACTGTAGGTTTAAATAGCTAGAATATCTCCTACTTCCTAGCTAGAATCTCTCCTACTTCCTTGGTAGGGGGAGATCATGCCTTCTTGTGCCTAGTGTCTTCTTGGTCAAGATAGTAACACTTCAATTCATGGACAACAGGGCTAGTCTACATCCATAAGAGAAATTGAATCATGTATGATGTCTTCTCGACCTTCTTATGACTTCCGGTGGTCCATAGTATTTTTGCATCACCCTATTTTTATTGCTTTGAAATCGAAATTGATACTAATCTTAGTATGATTAGAACCATTTCTATTTTGGAGTTGTTGTGGCCTACATTTTCTACCCGATGTTCTCTTAATTCATCTGGATTTTTTCTTCACTAACACGAGTTATTTCGAAAGTTTGTCTACACCCTTTAGTAAAAGTGTTGGGGTTTGAGATCTCTCTCTAGCATTCGGGTGATCACTGACATGAACCTGGTCTAATAAAATCAACTTTCAACAAGTTGTTTAGCTATTTGTGCAGTTCAAAACCAGTCCATCCAGCCTGTACCCCTGTATCTGACCCATAACCGCAACCCCCATCTATCAATATGCAGCTATACTACCCCGAAAGTGCCATGCGTGAAAATGAGTGTAGAACTCCCTCATGTGAAGTGCGTGAATGCTATTATATTCGTTGGACTATTTTTCATCCCGATTTTGATACTAACCCTTTTTTTTTTTTTTTTTTTTTTTTTTTTTTTTTTTTTTTTTTTTTTTTT